GGCATTCCCTTTTGCTCACTCTTTCCTTTCCTTTTTTACAGTATTTCCATTTGGCAATTTTAAGAACAACAACGGGTCATAAACAGAAGGGTATCAGCAGGTCTGGCCATAAGGCGAAGGTGTTGGGTGTCAGAACTTGGCAGTGCAGCCCAGACTCAGTCTCTCCATGATTAGGGATGTCTGGGGCCACCTGGCCTTTATTATTCTGGGAGAGGACCTGTGGCCGGCTAGTAAGGGCAATTCCTGGGGTTTATTCCTGCTTATAGGTACCACAGGGACTAGCTCTGTGCCTGTTGTGGGTTCAAGTCTAGGACATGGGTGGAGGGGGGTGTCTTCCTGGGGCCTGTGTGAAGGTTTGGGTCTGTCTGTCTCAAAGGGCAGATCCATGCAGGGCTGGAGGCAGAAGAAATAACCCCATGTCTAATGGGGACTGGAGCACCCGGGTTGGGAGGGCAGGTTCCAGGCTGTCTTTTCTCTCTAGTATTTGTGTACCTGGGCAATGCTAGGTGGACTGGGTGATGACTGTGCTGGCCGAGGCCTGTATATATGACCCTGCTGCCTGCTAGGCTTCCAGGATATGCTCCTTCATGCCACTGTGACTGTTCCTACAAAGGCAGAACTTCCCTTTCCACTAGGAAGGTGCCAGTACAATGGTTCTCAAACTGAATTCCTTGGGACCTCAGGGGTTCCAAAGAGAAAACTTGGACACCCCACCCATACCCCCAGAAATGAATCAAACTTAGTGTTCTTGGCATCTCTAGCTATGGAGATTGTGTTTTTATCAACTCATATATGAGAAGATTTCCTTGGAAAGGATTCTTCTAGAAAATTCTGGGAAAACGTGGTCAAAAATAGTGATTTTTTCAGTAAGTGTAAAGAGACTAAAAACCATGAGTCTAGGTCCAGATTTTCCAGATGGGCAACACGCTGCACAAATATTGACTCTGTACAACCCTATATGTATAATGTCCTTAGTTAGGCAACTTGGAGAATTTGGATGGAAGACATAAAATATTCACTCAAAGAGACATAAGAGTTCCCATCCCACTGTGTCAAGGGAAGTCACCACCAGTTCATTGTGAGGATGGATGCCCAAGTAGAACCAACTTGCCATGGGCAGGGAGCCAGGGCTCAGAGGACAGATCAGCCCAGAAGACTTGGGATGACTGGTAGCTGGGAGAGTCCTGGGTGTGGGTCTGTAAGCTGAGCATGGGTATATATTATATCCATCTAAAAATGAAGAAATAGAGGTGCCAATGACTACATTATTTCCCAGAGTCAGAGCTGACCTCACAGCAGTCTGCTAAGGGGTCTGGGTTTCACCATGGAAGTTCCTGCTTTCAGGAAAGGTTAGGACCACCATGGAAGTGCCAAGATATCTCCTGCCAGACACCTAGATGAGTCCTCCCATCCTGAAGATTCAGTAGGAGGCAGGAAATTTTGTCTTCCTCCTCTTGAATCTGCAAGGATTTGTGCAGAAACTTACTGGATTCTTCAGAAATCTGTACTCTGAGACACAGGCAAGGAACCAAGAATGGGGGACCAAGCATGCTAACAGACTTAATATTTCTTTTTCTTAACGTGAAGCAAGATAGTTCTTATTGAATGAAATTTACCCAGAAAGATGTAAGGGGATAGAAAAATAACATGTTCAGGAGAGAGCAAGGACTTTGAAAGAGCAAGCCCTTAATATCTCTTAAATCTTACATCTATACGTCGGCCCACCATAGGAACTCATATAAATACATGCTCATTAGAAAAATACCCATGAATTCTTTATTCATTCGCAAGGCATGGCAAATTTACATAGCTATTTTTTGCGTTTATGCCTCTCTTATTTTGGCATACGTTCAGTCATCACTTTATTTTTCCATCAGCCCTTCGTGGACTCATTCACTTATTGACATACTTGTTCACATTTGCATTTGTTCATTCACTTATCCATCCAACAAATAAAACATTTGGAAATTAACAGAAGTCTCTGGAGAAATGTTAACTAGTTTAATAGACTGTAGGCACCTTTCTCATCAATGGGCGTGAGGCACTGGAAGTTGGATCGTCGTGTCTGGAGTTGCATTGCAACTCATGGCCCAAGGAGAGTCCTCCCTCCGCACCCCCCGGTTCCCTGTGTCAATGCAGTGTGCACTTGGGAAGAATGCCAAGGAGGGAAGACCTCAGACATATACATGCATGTTGCTCCTTTGCCCTGATATCCAACTATCCTTTTTGCTTACTACTCTGCTGGATTTAAAACACAGACATGAGCACTCAGGGAACCCCACAGCCTGGTCCTCTGTAACATTAATTTCCTTCCTGGATTTTTAATGCCCCTTCCCTTCCCTTTGTTGTTGCTGTGATGTCTGGGGCTTGCACACTTGGTTGCCGGCCTCTCACTGGTTAGTGGTAGTGATTTTGCACACTCTTTCCTGGTTTGTTTGTGAAGGACTCAACCCTATAAATCACTTTAGGCCACTAAGAAATAAAGTGAAGTCACGTCTTCCGATGGAGAAATATAGTGTGTTACCATTAAAATCTGAGAGCGTGCAATCAATTGGAGGTTCTTAACGTGGGCACAGTTTTGTTAAGCTTGCTTTAGAGGATGTGAGATGCTTAGAA